AGACATATGTTGATGTGACGGAGTCAGGTGTTGATGTGACAGAGTCAGGTGTTGATGTGACAGAGTCAGATGTTGATGTGACGGAGACAGATGTTGATGTGACGGAGTCAGGTGTTGATTTGACGGAGACAGGTGTTGATGTGACGGAGTCAGATGTTGATGTGACGGAGTCAGATGTTGATGTGACGGAGACATATGTTGATGTGACGGAGTCAGGTGTTGATGTGACAGAGTCAGGTGTTGATGTGACAGAGTCAGATGTTGATGTGACGGAGTCAGGTGTTGATGTGACGGAGTCAGGTGTTGATGTGACGGAGTCAGGTGTTGATGTGATGGAGTCAGGTGTTGATGTGACAGAGACAGGTGTTGTTTTGATGGAGTCAGGTGTTGATGTGACGGAGTCAGGTGTTGATGTGACGGAGTCAGATGTTGATGTGACGGAGTCAGATGTTGATGTGACGGAGTCAGATGTTGATGTGACGGAGTCAGATGTTGATGTGACGGAGTCAGATGTTGATGTGACTGAGTCAGGTGTTGATGTGACAGAGTCAGGTGTTGATGTGACGGAGTCAGGCGTTGATGTGACGGAGTCAGACGTTGATGTGACGGAGTCAGACGTTGATGTGACGGAGTCAGACGTTGATGTGACGGAGTCAGACGTTGATTTGACGGAGCCAGATGTTGATTTGACTGAGTCAGGTGTTGATGTGACGGAGACGGGTGTTGATGTGACGGAGACAGGTGTTGACGTGACGGAGACAGGTGTTGACGTGACGGAGACAGGTGTTGACGTGACGGAGTCAGATGTTGACGTGACGGAGTCAGATGTTGACGTGACGGAGTCAGATGTTGACGTGACGGAGTCAGGTGTTGACGTGACGGAGTCAGATGTTGATTTGACGGAGTCAAATGTTGATGTGACGGAGTCAGGTGTTGATGTGACGGAGACAGGTGTTGATGTGACGGAGACAGGTGTTGACGTGACGGAGTCAGGTGTTGACGTGACGGAGTCAAATGTTGATGTGACTGAGTCAAATGTTGATGTGACGGAGTCAGATGTTGATGTGACGGAGTCAGATGTTGATGTGACGGAGTCAAATGTTGATGTGACGGAGTCAAATGTTGATGTGACGGAGACAGATGTTGATGTGACGGAGTCAGGTGTTGACTGTGAAAGAGTGGGAATGGTTGGAATAAACGGCGGGCAGTCACAGTTTTGGATTTCTGGGTAAAATTTGGTGACGGTGGTGTTGAGAGGACATTTGGTCCCGGGGAAGACATGGAATTCTGAGTCTGCTGTCCCTAGTCTGTGGTGGAATTCCTCCAGAGTCTTGGTCTCCAGATGTTTGGTTTTAGACTTCTCTGGGACGTTGTCGCCCCAGTGCGCGCTTGCTATCCATGCATTCGTGTTGGCGCTGTAGCAGCAGAATGCCGACCAGAGCAAGGTGGGAACGTTGATCCGGTTGTTGAGGGTCTCGTTGAAGCTCGGCTGGGCTCCTGTCACCCCGAAGCCTTCGGTAACACCGTTGCGGTTGATGCAGTGTTTCTGCATCACACACTTGGTGCACCGCTCCATCCTGTTCCAGCTTCCTTTGTTGAAGGACTCTGCTTGTGGGACGATGTTGGTCAGGGTGAAGGTAGACCGCTTGTCTTCGCTTGTTGATGCGTATGAACTTGCAAAAATGTGACCCCTGTCGAACTTCCCATTGGATCTGTAATCACTGGTCACAGCCTGATGGTTGTAGGTCTTGTTTTTCTCTTGGGGGGTCATGTTCTTGCTGGCGTTTCTGTTCTCGAGCTGTAAAGAACAGGAAGAACATTAAGGTTTTAGTGAACGATAAAACCTGTATTCATCTAATAAAGGCTCAAACATCAAGGACTTCAGACTAATACAGATTCACATGATCGCCCCTCAGATATGGAATCATGTGTCTGCATGTTTGTTAGCAAATAATCTCATGAACCACCGAACAAAGATGATTGAAACTTTCAGAAAGTAATCATGGGATGAACTACAACAGATTTCAAGATGGCCACTACAGTCAGCCAACCGAAAAAAACACAAACATTGTCAACCAGTGATACATTTTACACAATTATGAGCTAAATTTTAGTGAAAGTAACTGAGTGACTCAACACAGAAGACTACATGAAGACTTCAGAGGGGGCAGAGATATTAAAGACCCCCAGAGATCCAAGACTACCAGACCCTCGATCAGAGGGGGGTTTAAATTAACACAGATGACCATGAAACATCTATTCATCAATCCATCCAACTGTCCATCCAACGCCTTTCATCCAACCATCCATCCATTAATCCATTCCAACTGTCCATCTAACTGTCCTTCCATCCAACCATCCATCCACCTGACCATTCATCCAACCATCTGTCCTTTCATCCAACTATCCATCCAACTGTCCTTTCAAGAACCAACCATCCAACTGTCCTTTCATCCAACCATTCATCCAACTGTCCATCCAACCATCCAACTGTCCAACTAACTGTCCTTTCATCCAACCATCCATCCAACTGTCCATCCAACCATCCATCCAATTGCCCTTTCATCCAACCATCCATCAATCAATCCATCTAACTGTCCTTTTTTCCATCTAACTGACTTTTCAGAATTATGTTTTATATAGTAGTATTAATTTATATTTTCAGATCTTCCAAGGTGCCAATTATGGAACTCNAATATGGATGGAGGACAACAGAGCTGCTTCATGGAAGAAGAACCTCAGCTTAGCCTGTTAGCTTTAGCATTAGCACCAATGCTATCACCATATACTGTATGTGTATTAGCTCAGCGCTACACATTCTCCTCTCTTCACTGAGGTCCTCCATCCACATGACAGAGAGGGGAAGGTCACAGTTTGACTTGAAACCTTCAAACCAGGTTAGATTACAGCTCCCTTCTGTAATCACAGCTTTTAAAATACTGTCAGTATTTTTAATGTTACCTTGTAAATAATTACTTGTTTTCTAGAACTGTTCAACTTTAACCTTAGCTTAAAATTACCCAAGTTAATTCTCCAAAGTTAATCTTGGTGATTTTAAAAACTAGTATGTTCTGTCCCATTCTTTTGCAAAGGAATGTGTTTTCAATTTAATCAAATTGTTCACAGCTTCTGTCTTTCTAAACAGTTATCTACTCCAATTTAGAATAACATGGATAAAACAATCTATTTGATTTCTAATTTTAACTGAGAGTTATACTGAAAAAGAATTAACTGTGAATTTTAAAATGTTGAACAATGCTTTAAACAGCAAGAAGCAGAAACGTGTGTACACTTATCTACCTTTGAAGTTTGTAATCAAAAGTATCAAAGATATCAATCAAATGGTGGACATTTGATTGATTAAAGTGATATGCAAATTTCAAACCCACGAGCTAGTTAATGTACCCATGAGCTACAGAGACACAGTGGACGCACTGATGACTCTAAAAGTGTGAATGTGTGTGTTTTGTGTTGCTATTTTTGCTAAGGAAAGGCCAAATTTCAAATGAGAAATAAAACAGAGAACTATTTTGATTTTTAATGCATGCTAAGAAAATTAAAGTCGACATTTTTGAGATCGTATTGGGCTGAAAAAATAGACTTCGGTACGATGCTCCTTCTCAGAGGCAAATTAAAGCAGCCATGTGCTGACAATGCTCTGAAAGTTACCACTGTTAGGATAATTAACGTAGCTAATTAAATATTCTAACGACCGTCCTTATAAACCAAAATAAGGACAGGGAAGGTAAATTTAATTGAACCCAGCCGTTTATCAGAAAAACTAAAAAAGGAGTTCATGAAAAAGGGAAGCTGAGAAAACCCCTTTGTTGCTGTGCTTAAATCTAATTATCATAGAGTGATAATAAAGTGCACAGAAGTGTGCTAACCACAAAGAAGTGGTAAATTCTGTTCTAAGAGCTACATGCTCACACCCAGGTAGAGAAAGCCTGAACAAGCTGATCTGAGAATCCGCTTTGCTAAAAGTTTCCCCAAAGGGGGAAGTGATTTATTTATTTATTTTCAGCACCGATCTGAATCGTTGCTGGAGCTTTAAATCAGACCGCTGACGTCTGGAATAGATCGCCTTGCTAATAAGCTAAACTCTCTCATGATAAAGGCAAAAAAAGAAACAGCCTTATTGTGAGTTTCAGAAGTTTCCACAGAGCTACAAGAAGAAAAAAAAAAGCCACAGAGCTACAGAAGAAATATTTTAATAAGTCCAAACAAACAAGTAAGGATAGCTTAAGACTCACCTGAGGAAAAAACCTCAGCATTAAAGATTTTTCAGAAATCTAACATCAAAGTTGATAAACTCAACAATTTAGATTAGTTTAAACTAACATCTTTAAACTAAAAACCTTTAACTTTTCTTGACCATCAATTCAGACTAGAGCTAACCGTTAACAAATGCTAATTCCAACTAGTATGAAGTTTGTGCGGTTAAACCGTGCTCACACTCAGTCGAACAATGTGTTGAAGTTGTCCTGGCCAGCTCTGCAGTTTTCACTCATTTACAGGCCAGCGGTCACTCTTTCAGAGATGAGGATGTTCTCATTCTTGATAGAGAGGAACGTTGGTTTGAGAG